GCTGTGACGTCGCGCCCGGGGGGCCTGGATCCTTTCAGCACTCACTGCGCACTCATCGGGTCCCAGATGTGATGCTAGGGCTCGGGAAGGCGAGCGCCCTGCGTCCCCACCCAGTGGCCCAGGGAGCCAGGAGCTAGGGAGCACTGTGTCACCACGGTGACTTCAGGGGTGCTTAGCAGCTCCCAGGGCAGAGGGACAGAGGGCGACACAGAGCGATCCAGGTCCGGTTCGGCTGGGTCCGCACTGTGACCCCGGGGGTCCTTGTGGAGAGGCTGCCCGTGGGAAGGGCCTGGGGCTGGAGGCAGGGACCCGCATGTCTGAGAGAAGCCAAAGCGGCACCTGGAAGGAACTCAGCTGACCCTGGATGGGCCGGGAGGGGTGCTGGGCGGCTACCTGTGGGTCAGGTAGCGTCTGCTTGCTTGGACCTGACTCTCAGAGCGGTGAAAAGCTTTCTAGGCATCACACAAGGGCCACCTGCAAAACCCTGGAGGTGAACCCAGAGGCCCAGTCTGTGACCAGCGTTTTCTCGGTGCAATAGTCATGGGCCTAAGACTTTAGAGCAGACTTCTGCTCTCTTTGTTTCTTTAATCCTAAGGTTTACTGATCAGTTCTCCGTGGCTCCTGGCGGCCCCGACTCACCTGAGCCTATCCTGGTCCACTGAAGGAGAAAGCGGTGTTATTAGTGGAAACCCCTGGCTCCTTTCCCAGGTGTCCGCATCTCAATGCACGAGGGCTGTGCTGATACTCAGACCTCAGCCACCTTGCACAACATCCAGCGTGGACTGCGACGGTCAGCAAGTCAGTCCCAGAGCAGTTTGGGTGAGGAAGAGGAGAGAGAAGGCCAGGCTGCGGGAGCAGGTGTGGCCACGAGGGAGGTGTGTGGACCTCTGTTTCCAGTGGGGCAGTGAGTGGAGAAAATGAAGGCTCCGGGGAAGAGAACTGTATACAGGTTGAACTGGACCCCGGGAAAGGGACGAGGCGACAAGCTACCAAATGCGGAAAAGACGAGGTGTGAGGTGAAATAGAAATTAGCCTCGCGGCCTTTTTAGGGGAGACTGAGTACAAGGATGACCAGCGGCATCGCTTCTGCACACTCAGAGGGGATGAGCAGAGGCTGAGGACATTGTTCTGCAAACCAAGGACAGAAAGAAGCAAGGACAAGTGTGATACGGAGTGGCTGTGGGTAAAAGAGAAAAACTTCCAAGGGCAGTAGGCTCACACCTCACATGGACTCGGCACTGCCCTGGCTGCCTCACGCGGTCCTGTGAAGTGACTTAAGAACTATCTAATGTCACCCCTCTCCTGGTCTCTGTCCGCGCCGCCACCCTCTGCTCACAAACTTTTACTTTCCAATTGGCAAATATTCTTGATAATTTCCCATTATCCACAGACAAACCCAAAGTCTGAAACAACCCTTCAGACACTGACAGCGCCTCTCTCTCTCCCTCCCTCCCTCTCTCACTCTCTCTCCCTCTCTCCCCACTGTTTTATATTCTGATGTTCTACCCTTTTTGCCAGCCACATACAATTCAACTTCCAATATCTAGGGTATCTTAGACATGCCAGGCTTTTATAGACTTCATCTACCTCATAAAATTTGGTGGGTTTTTTTTTTTCCTTTGGTATCATTTCAGATCACGCCGCTGAAACCGCCGCCACGCGGCCGTGACCTCATGCCTGACCCATACAATGTGACCGAATTCATCCTCCTGGGACTTTCTCCCAATCAGCAGGTGCAGAGGGTTTGCTTTGCGGTGTTTCTGCTCTTGTACGCCGCAGTTGTGCTGGGGAATCTCCTCCTCGTGCTCACCGTCGCGGCCAGCACCAGCCTCGCTTCTCCCATGTACTTCTTCCTCGGCTCCCTGTCCCTGGTGGAGATCTGCTACTCCTCCACCACGGCCCCCAAACTCCTCTCGGACCTGCTGGCCCGGAGGAAAGCCATCTCGGTGGGGGGCTGCATGGCACAGCTTTTCTTCCTGCACTTCTTCGGCGGCATTGAGATGTTGGTGCTGACGGCGATGGCCTATGACCGCTACGTGGCCATCTGCCGGCCTCTGCACTACGCGGCCATCATGAACCGGCGGGTGTGCGCGGCCCTCGTGGGCGTGGCCTGGGCGGGAGGCCTCGTGCACTCCCTTGCCCAGGTCCTTCTCATCTTCCCGCTGCCCTTCTGTGGCCCCAACGTGATTGACCACTACTTCTGTGACGTGCTTCCCCTGCTCCAACTGGCCTGCTCAGACACCTTCCTCGTGGGTCTCCTGATTGTTGCCAACGGGGGGACCCTGTCTGTGGTCAGCTTTGTGGTCCTGTTGGCATCCTACGTGGTCATTTTGGTCCATCTGAGGACCCGCAGCTCTGAGGGGCGGCGCAAAGCCCTCTCCACCTGCGGATCCCACGTCACCGTGGTAACCTTGTTCTTCGCACCTTGTGTCTTCATCTATCTGAGGCCGTCTGCCACTCTGCCTGTGGACAAGCTGGTAGCCGTGTTCTACACCGTGATCACCCCACTCCTCAACCCCGTCATCTACTCCCTGAGAAACGCGGAAGTGAAGAGGGCCGTGAAGAATCTGTGGACCAGGACCGTGCAGCCGGTGACAGACAGAGGCTGAGTCTTGGTTTGGGTCCCTGGGTTTGGAGCGATTTTGAGTCCAAACTGAAGGGTGCCGTGGGTAGGTGGAAAGTTCACCCGGCTTGCTGGTCCTGGGGTTATGGTATCTGTGTGCACCTTCAAAATGTTCATTTTAGTCATTTGTGAAATGTATCTTTATGGTTGTCCCGTAACATACCTAGGCACAAAATTTTTACTACACTAAGTAACACTGTGCTGCCTGCCTGCCTATCTTGAACAGAAATCCTCGCCTGTCCTGGTTTCGTGCACACCGCCTTCCGATAGTAAATTTGTCATGACGCAGTGTCACCCTGACTCGTGGCTTCTAAAGGGCTCTGAGCAGCATCGCGCTGCCACTAAACACTTTAGAACGAGGTCCAAGCCGTTACATTGTCTCCCAGTGTCTCCTAACGAGGTGTTCATTGATTACCAAGGGGAAATGAGATCATGACTTCATAGCCCGCTCCCCCTTACAGTTTCCCAAAATTAACGTCGCAGGACTGAGGTGAATCGGCGCCGTGTGTTTCCTGATGTGACGGACTCGTACAGCTCCCAAAGTCGCTGCTGCCCAAGGCACCCGAGCGGGGTTGAGCGCGACCAGGCGCACACACGGCGGAACCGGAAGCGCAGCGCCTGCGCACTGGGGCCACTGAAGCTGCACTGTGGGGGGCGCGGCCTGGCCCCCTCCCTGGGTCAGAGGGCGGGTGCTAGAGGGCCGAGCTGCTAGGCGAGCTAATGTCGAAAATCAGTAATATCCTGGGATCTGGGAGTGGAGCGTTTAGATACCTAGAGACAAAAGGCATTTCAGAAAATATATGTAAGGTACCCGACGTGCTGTTTTTATATAAATATACACAGCGAAATGATTAGTGTAGTAAAACAAATGAACATGCCCATCACCTTCCAGAGTTCGCTTCTTTTTAATAAGCACGCCAGAACTCTACTCTGTCACCAAATTCTTGGTTTTCGTAGTATTCTTAACTGTAATTACCATGCCATGCCTCATAGACGTATTCATGCTATCACTACAACATTATTTAACTCTTTCTCCCTATTCCACTGTGTGAGCAAAACTCTACCTATCTTTCTGACTTTGCGTCTACTTATTAAGTAAACGAATTATGAAGAAAATGCGGCAAGGTACCAACTTTTGGGAAATCTCATTTACGGAATAACAGGAGCTATTATTCTTCACACTTTCGCATGTTTGGACAAGCCAAATTACAACAGAAGGTGCAAAAATTGCAAACTAGACTTCCTATTGTTATTTAATTTGCTTTTCTCTGATTTGTATGGGTATATTTTTAAATGGGTTTAAACCTTGCTTAAAAATTAATCACTTATTCTTCAGCACCTCAACAATAAATAAAAGTCCAGTAAAATTTTAAACATTTAAAAGCTTTACATTTGTATATATAGTAAAATGATCAATTTTTTTCTATTGCACTCCATTTATGTTGCGTTTAAATTATCTTACATCATTATATAATTTCTTTGAAATTTTAGTTCAATGTTTTATTTAATGTTATGTAAAATTATATATTCATAAGGTCAAAAAATAGGTATAGAAATTAGAAGTTTTATTCTACTTTTTCCTATTTCTTCTTTGCCCTTACCCCTTTACTTTTCTTAGTTTCCTATATTTCTCTCAGAGCTGCTGTAACAAACATATATGTGATAGCTATACCTCATTTAGCATTACCTTTTACAAACAAACCTCTTACTTGAGAGGCTACATCTCCATAATTTGTTGTTGCCTTACAACAATTCTAAAGGAAGTTCTCCAAATTGAAAGAGATGTTAGTTACTAAGAAGAAAATGTAAGAAGATATTAAACTCTCTGGAAAGAGCGATTATACAGACAAATTCAGAACACTCTCAAATTGTAAATATGGTACATAAACTGTGCTGATCTTTAGAATGAAGTCTAAAATACAACACAACTAAAACTTGTAATAACTACCTTCATATGTTAGAGATGTAAAATCTAGATTATATTCAATGAGATGTGGAAAATTCAAAAAGTGGGGAGGAATGGAGTGCAAGTATAGACTTTTCTTACAGGAGTAGCTTTTTTTCTTTATGGTCATGTTAAGTGGCTGTCATTTGAAACTATCTTGTTCTAGTCAAAAGATGTTTGCTATAATTCTCAACATAACCTGAAAGTAAAAATTTATAACAGATAAACCAAACATCATAACCCATGAAAAAATAATTAGTATATATATTATGTAAGGAACAGATTCCCTGTGTTGCCTATGATCAATATGTATGACAAATATGTGCCAGTACAAAATAAAGCTTAAAAAATAAGCAAAGAACCAAAACACACCACTAGAATAAGTCACTTAATCACAAAGGAAGAGTGGAAGAGAAAGAAAAAGAAAGCAAGGAACTACTGAAAACTACAGAGCATGTCACAAGGCTGGTAAGACTTCCCTATCAATGTTTACCTTGACTGTAAGCTAAATTCTCCAATTAAAAGCCATGCAGTGACTGAATAAAAAAGAAACAAGATCCAAGGACCCTTCAAAGAAACTAAGTTCACCTGTATGAACACTACACCAGCTGAGAGCAAAGAAAGGGAATAAGATATTCCATGCAAATGCATCCAAGAGAAAGCAGGAGCAGCCATACTGGTATAGAATAAATCTTAACTCAAAAGAGGTAAAGGCAAGAAGAAAGATCATGATATAATGATAAAGATGTCAGTTCAACAAGAGGAAACGACTGTTTCAAGTGCATAGACCCCCAATGTCAGAGCACACAAATGTAAATATTAATCAGTAGAAAGGGGAAGATGAACTTCAATACAGTGAACTTCAATACAATTCACTGACTTCAACACCCCACTTTCAACAAGGGGCAGAGAACCAGATAGAGGGCCAGGGATGTAGCTCATGAGTGCTGTGCCTGCCTGGCAAGTACAAGGTCCTGAGTTTGATCCCCCATATGGTGGGGGTTGGGGGGAGAAATCCAGATAAAATCAGCAAAGAAATAGCAGAGTTACACTGTAACCCAGACCGGATGGGACTAATAGATGGCTCTAGAACCTTCCACCCAGCAGCTGCAGAATACACATACACCTTCTTGATGGCACATGGAACATTCTCCAAGCTGCACTTTATGATGGACCACAAAAGAAGTCTCAACATTTTTTTACAGAACTAGAGATCGAAGCCAGGCCATTCATGCTGAACTTCATTCATAGGTCTTTTCTATTTTTTTTTTTCCAGAGACAAGGTCTTGCAAACTTGCCCAGATTGAATTTGCAGTCCTCCTGCCTCAGCCTCCCAGAGTGTTGTGATTACAAGAATGTATCTCTATGCCCAGCCTCTACAAATTTGTAAGAAAAGAAATCATACTGTTTCTTTTCTGACCGCAGCAGAATCACACTAGAAATCAACAAGAAAAACTTTGGAAATTATTCAAACATATGGAACTTAAATAATTTATTTTTAATAACCAATGGGTAAAGAAAAAATCAAAATGGAAATTTAAATTTCTCTTGAAACAATGAAAATAGAAGAAAATATACCAAAACCTATAAGACCCAGAAAAGGTGATACTAAGAGAAGTTCATAGCAATAAATGTACAGATACAAAATAGAAAGACTTTTTAAAAAATAGACTTCAAACAAGCTACCACAATCTACTGCAGGAACTTAGAAAACCAAGAAGGCACCAAACCCAAATTTATTAGAAAGAGATAATAAAAGGCAGAGCAGAAATGAATGAAATCAAAAATTTTTAAAGCAGCATAAAACATGAAGGTGAAAACCCAGCTTTATAATGAGATAAGCAAAATTAACAAACTGCCAGCTAGACAAGGACAAAATCCAAAAACATAAAATTAGAGATGAAAAAAGACATTACAGCTGATAGCACAGGACAGATCCTAAAACTTCACTGTGAACAATTATCTGCTAACAAATTGGAAAACTTAGAAGAAACAGATAAATTCCTGGACACATACAACCTGTGAAGATTGAAATCAAGAAGAGGTAGAAGATTTAAGTGGGTCAATAATGAGTAATGAGATTAAAGAAGTAATGATGCTTTCCCCATCAATGAAAAGTCCAGGACTGGATGCCTTATGATTAAATCCTGCAAAACATTCAGGCAGTACTAATTGCAATCTCTCTCAGACTATTCCAAACAATTGAAAAGGAGGGAACCCTGATAAACGCTTTCTACAAGACTAGCATCATCCTGATAAAACACCAAACAGCATCGCCAAACAGGGCAAGGGCACAATAACAAAGAAAATTCCTTTCCAGTGTTCCTGATGAATATAGATGCTAATTTTTTCAGCAAATTAATGGCAAACTGAATCCAATGACAAAACAAAGCAATTAGACACTGCGATCAAGTAGGATTCATCCAAGGGATGCAAGGATTGTTCACCAGTCACAAATCAATAAATGTAAGATATTACATCAGTGAAGTCAAGAGCAAAACCCTTATAATCATCTCAGTGGAGGCAGAGAAAGCATTCAGTAAGGTTCAACATCCTTTCATGATGAAACTCTCCATGAACGAAGTACAGAGGGAACGCACCTCAACACAATAAAAGCTACACATGACAAACACACAGCCTACATCATTCTGAACAAGAAAGAGCTGGGAGCATTTCCTCTGTGGTCTGGAAAAAGACAAGGAGGTCTCCTCGCACCACTCTTTCTCAAGATAGCACAGTAAGGGTTAGCAAGAATACTTAGGTTAGAGAAAGAAGTAAAGGAACCCTAGGAAAGGAGGAAGTCAAAGCATAACCGCTTGCAGATATAATGACTTCATATAGCCAGGCATAGTGGCGCACACCTGTAATCCCAGCACTTGGGAGGCTGAGGCAGGAGGATCGCTGTGAGTTCGAGACCAGCCTGGGCTACATAGTGAGTTCCAGGTCAGTCTCAACTGCCTAGTGAGACCCTGTCTCAAAAAACAAACAAAAAAAAAATGATTTCATATAGAAGAAGAACCTAAAATCCCACCAGAAACCTATTTGATTATTTAAAACCATTAATTGACAAACTCAGTAAATTACAAGATGCAGAATCAACATAAAAAAAAATAATTTGGCCCAGCATGGTGGCGCATGCCTGTAATCCCAGCACTTGGGAGGCTGAGGCAAGAGGATTGCTGTGAGTTCAAGACCAGCCTGGGCCACATAGTGAGTTCCAGGTCAGTTTCGACTACATACTGAGACCCTGTCTCAAAAAACAAAAAATAAAATAAAATAAAATAAAACAATATAATTTGCATGCACTAATAACAAACTTGCTCAGAAAGGAATCATAAAAGTAATGCCATTCACCTAGCTACCAAAAAATCTAGAAATAACTGTAACCGAGAAACTAAAAGATTTCTATAATAAAAATTATAAAACAGTGAAATAAATTAAAGCGAACACAAAAAAAATCAAAAGGCATCCCAAGTTCGTGGATTGGAAGAATTAATATTGTTCAAATATCCATAGTACCCAAAGTGATCTACAGATTCAGTGCAATCCCAATCAAAATACTAATGACATTCCTCACAGAAACAGAAAAAAAAAATCCTAAAGTTCATGTGGGAACCACAAAAGACCTAGAGTAACCAAAGCAATCCCGAACAAAAAGAATAAAGTAGATTCATTCATAAGTAAATGGGTACATTTTGAGGATATACTCCTAAGTGAAATAAATAAGTCACACATGTGTAAATACCAAATAGTTTCTCTGGTGTGAAAAACTAAAACAGTACTCAAGATCCTAATGGGATAATTAGCAATGTGAAATAGCAAGAAAAGGACTAAAGGTGTAGGGACAGTGAGAAGGGTAGGGGAAGGGGAATAAGGGAAAGGGAAAAAAATATGAGAAAATGTAAAAATGGAATTAAAGTGTTTGAAAGTGGGGAGGGGAGGAGGGGGTGAAGGGAGGGTGGGACAAGGGGAAAAAATGAGAACCAAGACCTGGCATGTAAAGGTACAAGAACCAGTAATGAATGTAACTGTACTGTCTACCTAGAATGTACCAATAAATTCCATTTAAATTTTTTAAAAAAGAATAAAGCTGGAGAAATCACACAGTGGCTTCAAAACGTACTATAAACTAAGGGCTGGGGATGTAGCTCAGAGGTGCTGCACCTGACTGGCAAACATAAGATCCTGAGTTTGATCCCATCCCAGAAAAAAAGAAAACCTGAAATAAAATACATAGTTTGGGGCCAGGGATTTAACTCAGTGGTGCCACTGCCTGCCTCACAAGCACAATGTCCTGAGTTTAATCCCTGGTACAAAAAAAACTACAAAGTTGCAGGCCTAAACAGCAAGTAATAGCATAAAAGCTGATGTGTGCCCCAGTGGAACAGA